CTCCTAGGTATGTGGGCTCTTTATCAATCTCTCAGGGGTATTTCGTTTATTTTGATGGTGCCGACTTTTTGCTTTGGGGGAGAGGGTGAATAGTGTGGTGCTACATTTGTCTGTGTTGATGCTGACACACCATCTATTGGCCCATGCCTCAAGTGCATTTGTAGCCCGCTGTAGTGTTTTTGTGGCTATCGTTGCATGTTCATTGGTGCACCACAGTACCAGGTCGTCGGCATACATTGCAATTTTGATTCCATTTGGTATCTCAGCAACCAGATCGTTGATAAATAAAAGGAAAAGTGTGGGCGACAGGACACCACCTTGAGGGACGCCTTGTCGCAGTAGAACTTTTTTACTTTTAAAACCATCTACCTGTACCCGGGCTCTTCTGTTATGTAGATATGCTTTAATCCAATTGTACATTTTTCCATTTATTTTATAGTTTCTCAATTTCTTCAAAAGCCCTTCCTTCCAAACCTTATCAAAAGCTTTCCTTAAATCTATCCATGCCGCGAGTACCAGTTTCTTATCTTGAAAAGCATCCTCTATTTCTTGGGAGAGGTATGTTGTCTGATCTTCCGTAGAGTAGAACTTTCTAAAGCCTGCCTGCTGTGGTGTAATGAAGTTTTCACTTTCAATGTACCACTGTAGTCTGAGGTTGGTGATGCGCTCCATTGTTCTACAGCACATCGTGCTGTTGTAGAGCTTCTCTGCTGTTATCCTTCCATTTTGTTCTTGGTCTATTTCTTGCTCTACGACCTTCTTCTCTTTCCATGTATGCTTTGTATGGTATGATGTCACAAGGCATTCTCTCTATACCATACAAAGCATACATGGAAGAAGCATAGCATTGAAGAACTAAAAACAATAGTGGACACATTACCGGTGAATGATTTTAAATCTTGGAATTTATGGATTGTCATCTGGTCAGAGCGGCGTCCGTGGCATAGGCGTTACGAGTCCGACTCTTAATCCAACGTACCGCAATCGAAACCCACTGCTAGCTGCGTGGATTTTTATCTTGGGATGGGGCGTCGCAGGTCAACCAGGTCTAAATGGGTACCAGGATGGCTGTCCTGGGGAAGAAAAGAGGGCCGGCGTAATGCTGACCACATTACCCACCTAGTGCCGATAGGTCTGCAAAAATATAGGACGCTCTTCCCATATACCCGATGCGCCTTAGGCGTGAAAATGGATTTTTACTTCATTTTTTACATCTGGTCAGAATGAAACAAAATCAGCCAGTACCTAGAGGACAACAGGCTACAAGCCAAGAGACCGACCAAGAAAGAGATGTGCGGAGAGTGTAAGTGAGACACTTATCAGTCAAGCAGGTGCCGTCTCCACATAGAAGGTTAGCAGCAATGAATATCCACAACACTCTACAAAAGACACTACAGACACCACAAGTTATGCAACTAGCAAAAGAGGGGAATCTACATAAAACATCTCTTTGGGACGCTTTATTGCATAAGTAATCGGGGGGGGGGGGGGGGGGGGAGGGCCTAGAGAGAGAGAAGCAGCAGCAGAAGAAGAAAATGGGACGTTTATGGTGTGCCTTGTATAATGTAGTGTCGAATTCTAAATCATCAGTAAGTAGGTTCTTTGGCTAGATGGCTTCTCAGTGTAAAAGTAAATATTCATTTAGTGAGACAGTAACAAACAAAACTGGATAATTTAATTTTTCTTAAATAAAATGTACTCAATCGAATGCCTCACATAATGCAGCCTAACTGTAAACAAAAATACAACCTGTCCCTTTCAATGCAAACTAAGAAGATGAAAGAAGAAATCATCATTTCGGAAAACACAGCGGACTATGATTTGACATCGATTGGTATTGTGTCTTCCACATGTGGCATGTTATTACTGTATGTCAACAAAAATGTATCAATAGGCAGTTATTGTCCAACATAATCGCCTTCAAGACAGTGTCAGTTGCTGTGGTCTTTCTCTTCAGTGGTGCTCAAACCAGGCGAACATGATGTTCAGAAAGAATGACGGAACCTGCAATCACCCGAATAATTTAGGCGCCGCAGGAAAACCGTTTGCCAGACTTCTTCCTCCAGAGTATGACGATGGTAAGTTTCCATTTCAATTTTTGTGAAAGCAACTCTTCCCAACATTCAGTCAGTCATTTATCTATCTAATTATCTATCTGTCTATCTACCTGTCTAATTTATCTATCTATCTGTCTGTCTATCTGTCTATCTATCTATCTATCTATCTATCTATCTATCTATCTATCTATCTATCTGTCTGTCTATCTATCTATCTATCTATCTATCTATCTATCTATCTATCTATCTATCTATCTATCTATCTATCTATCTATCTATCTATCTATCTATCTATCTATCTATCTATCTATCTATCTATCTATCTATCTATCTATCTATCTATCTATCTATCTATCTATCTATCTATCTATCTATCTATCTATCTATCTATCTATCTATCTATCTATCTATCTATCTATCTATATATCTATCTATCTATCTATCTATCTATCTATCTATCTATCTATCTATCTATCCATCTATCCATCTATCCATCTATCTATCTATCCATCTATCCATCTATCCATCTATCCATCTATCCATCTATCCATCTATCTATCTATCTATCTATCTATCTATCTATCTATCTATCTATCTATCTATCTATCTATCTATCTATCTATCTATCTATCTATCTATCTATCTATCTATCTATCTATCTATCTATCTATCTATCTATCTATCTATCTATCTATCTATCTATCTATCTATCTATCTATTTATCTGTCTGTCTGTCTATCTATTTATCTGTCTGTCTGTCTGTCTGTCTGTCTGTCTGTCTGTCTGTCTGTCTGTCTGTCTGTCTGTCTGTCTGTCTGTCTGTCTGTCTGTCTGTCTGTCTGTCTGTCTGTCTGTCTGTCATGTCTGTCTGTCTGTCTGTCTGTCTGTCTGTCTGTCTGTCTGTCTGTCTGTCTGTCTGTCTGTCTGTCTGTCTGTCTGTCTGTCTGTCTGTCTGTCTGTCTATCTATCTATCTATCTATCTATCTATCTATCTATTTATCTATCCGTCTGTCTGTATCTCTGTCGCCAGTCTGTCTGTCTGTCTGTCTGTCTGTCTGTCTGTCTGTCTGTCTGTCTGTCTGTCTGTCTGTCTATTTATCTATCCGTCCGTCTGTATCTCTGTCGCCTGTCTGTCTGTCTGTCTGTCTGTCTGTCTGTCTGTCTGTCTGTCTGTCTGTCTGTCTGTCTGTCTGTCTGTCTGTCTGTCTGTCTGTCTGTCTGTCTGTCTGTCTGTCTGTCTGTCTGTCTGTCCGTCCGTCTGTATCTCTGTCGACTGTCTCTCTGTCTGTCTGTATGTCTGTCTGTCCTCTTTATCTCTCTGTCTTTTGGTATGTATGTAAAACGATGTGTTGTCTGTGCATCTGTATACCTGTTTTATCGAAATCCCTTTCTCTGTATGCACATGACGCCGATAAATTAGTTTTCCTTTTGTCTGTACGTATCCATAAAATCTATATGTGTGTATATACGTTGCTAAGGAGTGCAGGTGTATGTGTGCACATTTCTATGGATGTTACTTTAGACAATTTTCGTGCATTTGAATCACTGTCAAGTGCTTGTATATGTATGCGTGTATACCTAAGTTTCTGTGACTTTTGTGGACGTCAGGTGTGTGTGTTTGTGGTTTTTTTTTTTTTTCTTTCTGTATGTTTATCTCATTTGGTCTCTGTGATATTAAAGTAAATCTTCAAACAGGCGTCAGTGTTCCCAGACAGCGAGGTAAGGACGGCAAACCACTGCCCAGTGCACGAGCCGTCAGCCTAACTCTCCACCCTCCTAAAGATGTTTACTCCGGCTACCCTATCATAGTCATGCTGTGGGGCCAATGGCTAGCTCATGATATCGTGGCTACAGCAAGTGAGTAGTAGATTCATGAAGTTCTCGCTACATCCGGATTTGAGACTAGTTCATTTGGTATAAACTAGGGCTGTACTGAATAGTGATTTTTACTATTCCGCCGAATACGAATAACGGGACCAGCTATTCCGCCGAATACGAATAGTGAAAAGTGTATAAAATATATCTGAAACACACACACACACTCACACACACACACACACACACAAATTCATAATGTCAAATGTACGCTGAACTTTTACTTCATATACAGTAGCACAGAATAGTCATCTTCTTCTTTAGCATTATGAGCCCTTGAGGTTTACTGCTGCAGATATCACTCGTCTCCATTCATCTCTCTGGCTGGCCTTATCTTCACAATTTGTGACACCAGTTGTTTGCAGGTCTGGCTGGACATTATCTCTCGAACTTCTTTTTTGTCTGCCTCGTGGTCTACGCCCATTCCTCACTCAGGTGTATACAGTTTTATTTCTCTGTCATCTGACATTGTTTCAATATGCCACAAACCAGTTTAGTCTATTAGCCCTCATGATGCCAGCGATCAATGGTGATTCAAAAAGATTTTGTGTTACGTTGTTGCTTCTCACTCTCCATTCCACGCTGTTAGCATCTTTGATGGGTCTAAAGATTTGTCGTGAGACTGTTTTCGAAAACTTGTAATAAGTTGCAGAGCGATATAAAACGACTGGTCTTATCAACGTTTTATATATTTTAGCAGACATTGAAGAGCATAGTATACTTTATTTCTAGATTGTATTCTAGATTGTATTTCTTCTCTCAGCATGTTGGAGCAGTTGAAGTTTGCACCCAAGTACTTAAATATTTCCGTTCGTTTGATTTTCATATTATCGACTTGGATGTGACCGGATTTTATATTCTTTCCCCGTCTAGTTAGCATTCGAACAGAACAGTAAACATTTAAAAAACATTTTATGTTTCGCATCCTTCAGTCAGTCTGTCGTAGCTAATAATTAGGAATGAAAGAATCATAAGTATAGTAACAAATAACTAAACTTGAAAATTGTCACTGACAGCTTAGTTAATGCAGGAAAGCTGCATTAGTTTTCAACAAAACCAATCGTTTCATATTGTCAGTATTAAGGCCGTGTATGCAGAAGCGGGTGTAAGGTAACTACTATGCGTATTTGGCCTGACCGCAACTATTCGGCCGAATACCGAATAGTCAGTCAATAGGTCCACTATTCGGCCCCGAAGCAAATACGAAGCGAATATCTGGTACAGCTCTAATATAAACCACACTGCCGACACTTAAGCTGTAAAATATATATATATATTATGTATGCTACAGAGAACCCGTCATAGTTGGTTACTTATTAAGTTAGTTATTCAAGGCTTAAGCTTTGCTGTAGAAAGATACCAAATGACTGTTACGTTTCTGTGCCAGCTACAATGATTAAAATGTCGTTATCTGTCCCAGCACTATTAGCTGATGCTCACTGTTGACGCTAGCAGTCAAACACGAATGCTGACATACGCCAACACATTACTGTAAAGACTGACGTCGTACCCAACTCCCCCCCCCCTTCCCCCCCCCCTCTTCCCGCCAAGAGCAAGGCTAGATAGTACCATACTTCCGGTTAAAATGGACGCTAGACAGCGGCGGCGTTCGGAACAGAGGCAACTTTTTTGCTTCTGCCGGACGGTGGCCGATGCATTTTTGCTCCATTTGTAGACTGGATATAGTTTCGTCGCCCAGCTTCTGAGTTGAATGCATGGCGTGACCCTGTGAGCTGCGGATTGCATTTGGAATGTTTTTTTTTTCGACTGTGACCAACGTGGTGGTGTGAATTGTAGATTCAGAAAATGGCGCGATGCCTGTCGTTCAATGCTTGCGGGACCCGTATTAAAATTGATCACGCGGACAACTGCTGATCTGTTGACGACAAGTTCTGCTATCATCAATGATGAACTGCATTTCTAATGTTGGACTGTTTGTGTTAGCACTTCGGATGGCTACCGTATGCTTTAATGCGAGTGTATGCTAGATATGCTGAGACAGCAGTCTGTCAATCTTTCCACAAGTGACTGTGATAGACATTCTGAGTGTTTTTCGCTGGCACAGGAGCGGAGCAAAGATGGGGCAACCCGTTTGCTATGAAGCTGAAACTAAGACTACCAGACTACCAGACTACCAGTACCATACATTATAAGGCACCAATGCAAATATTCTTGCTATCAAGTGACACTATTCATGTAGCGGCTGATGTAGCGGCTGCTATCTCGCCTGCGGCTGCGAATATCATGGGCTCAAATCCGCATTAGGTTGGGTTTTCTGCTTTCAAAAATGACTTTGTCTCCCAGGCCCATCCAGCCTAAAATGGGTTCAAGGCAAGACCACTGGAAGTAGAGACGTCCGGCTCGATGTCGACCATCAAGTGCTGTTTTGTCTTTAAAATGATTTCTATCACTATATGCGCAGTACATCTAAAGGAAACAGGTCTTTTACTGTTCTGCTTATCCTATGTGTTGCAGCATCGCTGGAAATCCATAGCGTTGGGTGTGTTCATTTGTTCTCACATGATACGGAAGATTAGGAAGGCTGTCTATATGACTCACAAGTTTCTCTAGGAATTATGAACACAGTCGAGTTCCAACTTCGGTTGTGTGTCTCTAGACACACAGCAGGCTCATCAAGATCATTTTTGCTGGCTTATAATTACAGTAGTCCAAGACTAAACCCTCGTGAAAATAATTGAAACATGCTATGTGCCATGTCTACAATGAAGATTGTATGAAAAGCAAAAAGAATACCCCTTGCTGTCTTTGAGAATTTTACGTACTGAAGCTTCAATCTCTCCTATTGTGTGATACGCGAGCCTTCTTTCGAACACAATAAGAACGATCCATTTTTTTTTTAATAAACCGTTCAGCTGTGGAAATCGAATCCAAAGACTTGAAAGGCTGTAAAATTGTGTAATTGCATTCACTAACCTCTATGATTCACAGTGTAACAATATGTGTTGTTTTGCAATGAAAACTGGTAAGAGAGCACAAGTAAGTACTTTCCTTTCAATGTTGTTTCTAGGCGAGTACGTTTACCAGAATACATTTACGACCCAATGTTAAACGTGAAAAAAAAAAAAAAAAAAAATTACGTACTAAATGAAAATCTCAAAAGTTCAAGAAAAGTCTGAATGCCACCAGCACATATATACTTCAGTTGAAAAAGATTGCGATTATATATATATATATAATATATATATATATACTAGCTGTACCCGGCCACGCGTTGCTGTGGCATAGTTTGGCTAAATGGAAATGAAAGAAACTAGAAATCGCACGTGTCTAGTACAATCATTGTCTGCTCAGATATAGAGATAGTCTTTGATCCCCGCCCACCCCCCCCCCCCCCCCGAACAACCACAACTAAATCCACCTACTACTCTCTCCCTCATTAAAGGTTTTTGGAAAAGAAAGACAATGGAAATCGCACGTGTCTAATATAGTTAATGTCGCAATCATTTTCTGCACAGATATAGAGATAGTCTGGTTTTCCAACTTTAGAACACGCACCTTATAATTGTGTCTTTATATTAGTGGTCGTTTAAATAGTGTTATTAGCACAGTAACAAAAATAGTTATTTGGTTATCGCATGCTAAAGCTGTTTGTATTTTTATAGGGACGGAAGTAAAGCTACAACTGTACTTGTGAATAACAAAGTAAGTTGTAAAAAATAGAAAAGCGGAGGTAGCGTTAGTAAAATATAAACAAATTAGGTAATGAGAACTTGAAAATCACGTGTAAAGCTCTTAAAGTTCTCTTAAATTTAAGTCATTACCCCCCTCCCCTCCACTCTTCCACCGACTACTACTCTCTCCCTCTTTGCAGGATTTGAAAATCATTACCTGGCGATATTTTGTTGTTGCTGTAACTGACATTGGCATCCCTGTCCGTCCGGACTAAAATGGGGAGCAGGAAATGTAATAGGTAGTGAATGGGGCTAGTGTAATATTTACCACATCATCCTTCAAGTACCAGTACAACTACTACCACGACCACCACCACAGTAGCTAAAATAATGTCACTGCTATCCTTGTTACCATCGAAGTAGACAGAGTCGTGAGCCAGAAGATTTGGTTCCGCATGGCTAGTGATGTCGCCACAGACTGGTCAGGTTAGGATGTATAATTTCGCTTCCCGACAGAAGAACGCCATAACCTTACCAGCGGTTTTCGCATGAGAGCATTATGGTGTAACCGCCCAACCACAACTATTACTGCTGCTGCTACTTTGAGTGGGTAAAGCAGTTACTGTGACTTAAAGCTCTCTCAGTTTATAGTTTGCCTCCCCCCCTCCTCCACCCCCCCCCTCTCCCCCCCCCCCCCCCCCCCCCCCTCCCCCCCCCCCCCCCCAGTTCACCGACAACTCTTTCCCTCACTGAAGTAGTTGGGAGAAAAAAAAACTTGAAAAGCAAATGAACACAGGAAAAAAAAAAACATAATTAGGAAATGAACGCTATGGTAAACAGCACAGCTTAAAATTCCAACGCAGATGAAATAATTAAATCTAAATGAAAATAAATGGAAAGCTATGAAATTTCAGCGTAACCATGCAATCGGAAAGTATAAAAATGAAATCATAAGTATGCGAAATGGTCAAATTTAATTATCAAATGGTTTACCCATTTATTTGTCTTTTTTTTTTTTTTTTTTAAGTATTAAGGGCAACATGGCTAGTGTTGTCACCACGACAGAGCAGATGAGGATATTATTTTAGTCCGGGGTTAAAACAAATTAACTACTGCGGATTTGAACCCTGGTCTCCCGCACGGGAACCCAGTGTTCTAACCATCCGACCAAGCAGCCACTTAATCGGAGCACCGAAAAGAGAACTAAACTATTAGAGATGTGTGCCCCTACTACTGTATCCGGATTAAAACAACTCAAAACCGCAGGCAATTGTTTTCTCGTAGACAGATACTCCAGATATATTAGTGAAACGGCACAACAATAGAAATTGCACGTGTCTAACACGGTTAATGAAGTTAATCCGCAGTCAATGTCTGCGCCGACGTCGAAATAGTCCTTGATGCCCCCCTCCCCTTCCCCATCGAAGGTTGTTTGAAAAAAAAACTGAAAATATAAATCGTGTTTAATATGGTTATTGTGGCAAATATAGAGATAGTCTTGTTTGCTGTACCACGACCTACTCTATGTATTAGAGAAGGCGTTGGCTGCGCGTAACTCGCCGGCGAATAGTGGAAGCCTTGCGTTCTGACTACGGCGGCGCATGCGCAATTACTAACGCGGCTATACTTAGATGTCACTAACAATTTAAATATTAGTGGCATAAATTGTGGTCACCTATCTCTAACAGTGACAGGTTGAATTTCAAACCATGATGGTGCAACATCCGGTATCAAAACAAACATATACTGAAAATTTCAGCTAAATCGGTTCAGTAGTTTCCGAGTCTATAGGGGGCAAACAAACACACAAACATTGATTTATATATATATATATATATATATATATATATATATATATATATATATATATATATATATATATATATATATATATATATATATATATATATATATAGCCCCTAAGGTATATTGCTGCAGACAGCCACTCCCCACCCCCCAACGCAACCATCATTTCCATCAGTTCACGTCTTTTGTTGGCTATCTCTTTCCAGTTGTTGACACCAAGTGCTTGTTGGTCTGTCTGGATATTATCTCGCCATCGTCGATTTGGTCTGTCTGGTGGTCTGAGACCATTCAACGTCCTCGTCTACAAAGTTTTTACATCTCTGTCATGTGATATTCGGTATGGCCATGTCAGTACAGTCCATTGCCCCTTGTGATGCCTGTGATCAATGGTGATGTAAACAGATTATGAATGTTATGGTTCCTTCTCACTCTCCATTCTGCATCTTTGATGAGGTCAAAGATTCATCGTAAGATTTCGTTTACAAAAGTGTGTAATCAGAGTTCATCTCTTCTAGTTGTGTTATACATTCCACAGCCATATAAACAACTTGCCTTATCTGTGTTTTACATATTTTGACTTTGCTGTAACAAGACAAAGACATTTTTTTTTTTTTTTTTGCAGAAATTGTGGGGCATAATGTACTTCATTTCTAGATTGCATTCTAGATTGTATTTTTTCCTTTCGTATGTTGGAGTATGTGATGTGGTCACCTAATTAATTATATTCTTCCGATCGTTTGATTTTCGCCTGTGTATCTATATAAATATATACACACACATATATATATATATATATATATATATATATATATATATATATATATACATATATATTTATATATATATATATATATATGTGTGTTTGTGTGTGTGTGTGTGTGTGTGTGTGTGTGTGTGTGTGTAAATAATTTACCAGTTGCTTTTGTCATTACAAATGCAATGGTGAAAATATGTAATTTTCTGTATTAAGCTTTCACCGGAGCTAACACATGCTGCGGAGCAAATGGAGGATGTCCGCCTTTCGTGCAAAACCCGTAAGTAATTAAAAACTTGCAATATATATATATATTATTCTGACATTGCAGCTGCCATGTAAAACAGGAAGTTGCATTTGATTGTTGTTGGATATGTACTGCAGTTATACAGGATTCACTTTTTTGCTTAATTTATGTAATTGTTACTCTAGTATGCACCAGACGAGATTGAACAAAATATGCCAGTCAATACATTGTGAAATCTATTGTTTGTGTCGTCTTTATTCAGATTAAAATACAGTTATGTTCTACTTATTCACGCACAAATTACATAGTAGGGCGTGAAATCCTTTGGAGGTGGTTGGTAGTAAGCATCGGCTTTTAATTGTCACTAGTGATGTCAGTGTGTTGTGATATAAACAAGTAGACAGATAAGCTGGTTATTCAGCATTTGGTGGTGAAGTGATTCATGTCACTACATATACAGAGAAAGTTATCATAACTTTAGAATATGTTAGAAAATTGAACAAACTTTGGAGTTTTGTTCTCAAATTTGGATATTTAATATTCTTGTGGCTGCAAAACCATAGTGAGTGAAGAATTTTTTTGTGAAATGTTGTCCTTGTGAAATTAACACCTGCTGAATTCTTCTTTTCCACTAACTATAACAAAATCAAACAAACACTTATCATCAGATTCAGAATGTACACTCATTTCTCTTTTAAAAAATATATACTGTGTTAGGGATAAGAAGTATATTACAATCTCTACAGCCTTTCTTGTACACCCACCCCTCTGCCATTTTTGTAAAGGGAAATTAATGTGGGCCAAGTCTGTCAAAATTCATGGGCCTGAAAGAGTTAAGAGAAGAGCAACAAAACCGCAACAATCTCTAAATAATGAATCCAAAGAGATATGCCCCGAGCGTCAGGCCAGTACTTCACGAGAACGGAGGATGTTATACAGTCAGTGTGTAGCTGACACAATTAGTATGGCAACCGCATGTTTGCCACCGAGAACAGTAATAACAGATCATTTTTAACAGTTATCACATGTAAAAAAAAAGAAACTGCCCTATCCAGTTAGTATTCATGTTAAGAACCTGTCGTGGGAATATATATATATTGTTCCAATATGACTGGTGTCAAGTGTGGGTTTCAATACGTCCTCGTAATCGCAAGGAACACGTGTGGGAATATCAGGTGTGTTGTGATATCCATTCTTTATTCATTGACATAGAATTATACTTTTTATTTCAAATCGTGGGTTCTACGCATGACCTACTGTACAGTTATAGTATAGTTTAATTAAATATGTACTTACTTGAAAATATAACCAAGTTAAAGCACTTATGAAAAAGGCAAATACTCAAAACACAGGTAAGCGAATGCACTCAAGTCAATGTTAAGTAAGCATCCTTTTCCACGCCTTCAGGAGTATTGGACATATATGGTAGGACGTATATTTTATAGACCAGTCGATGCTCAGTGGTCATCATCATTTGGCCACCTTAACTTCCCTGGACTGTACCTGGTATCCACTCAAGGCTGGGCCGACCTGAGAGCCAAGGTCATTTTAAACCTCCGTTTACGACAGGATCCGAACTCCCAACCTTCTGATCTACACAAAGGCGGCTCTAAAAGTAATGGTGTCTACATGAAAAGGTATTCAAGATACCTAGTTTTGATGTTTCTGACATGTGTGTTTGACTTTCTGTTCAGGAAGTGTTTTCCGATAGAGGTACCTCCAAACGACCCTACATTACCTGGGATTTGCCTGAATTTTGTCAGGTCTGTGGCTGCTAACGGCTCTGATAACTATCCAGCAAGTAGGTATACACATGTCTCTAAGTTTCGGTTCTCATCCGACGGTGTTATTAGTTACTCAATAACATACAAATAAATAAAGCAAACTAAAACTTACCTTTCCGCACGTCAGAGAAATCAAAGAATGCTATTTTGCCGATATTTTAAAGAAGTATTTCTACCTGATTTGATATGGTCAGTAACACATGGATCGCATTTACGTGCAGGGACATTTCAATTTTTTTTTATTCTGTGAATTGTGAAACTATTTGTGTAACCTGTATTGACTATGATTTGAACTTATGAGAATAAGTCTGACGCTCTAGCGTTTAGCCATTACGTTCCTGCAGTTTCAGCAAAATAAAAGTAATCTTAAAACAGTTACAATATACTGACTTTTGCGGGAATATTCGTGTTTTAGATTCAGTTTGAAGGAAACTCCTAATTACAGGACTTTTACGGCATGCTTGTTAGGTGAGGAGCGTTGAGGTCTAATTACCTACCCCAACCTCAACCCCCCCCCCTCCCCCCGGGCCGTCTTTGCCATACACACACGTTCAAACACAAGATGACTTTGGAACCCACACTGAGTATCCTTCCCTTTATAAGAAAACGGATATGGCATAGTCAAGACAAAGTAGAGCACTGTTATAACTGAACAGCGCATTGATCATACAGTACATTTTTTAAAATATATATCTATAGCGGCGTCCGTGGCTAAGGGGTTGCGAGTCTAACTCGTAATCCAACGTACCGCGATCTAAACCTGCGTGGGTTGGGTGGATTTTTATCGTGGTATGGGACGTCGCAGGTCGACCCAGCCTCAAATGGGTACCAGGATGGGCTGTCCTGGGAAAGTAAAGACAGACGGCGTAATGCTGACCACACTACCCACCGAGTGCCTATTGGTCTGTAAAAATATGGGTGCTCTTCCATATGCCCGATGTGACTAAGGGCATGTAAAGGGATCTTTACTTTAACTTTACTGACTTTTTTATAATCCCTGTTGTCTGGCGTTGGTAGTCATTTCTTCTCAACCTTTTTTCTATTGTATTTTGATTAATTTTGTCACAGGTTGATCTTCCATGCCATAATGTCACAGGCTCTTCTCTCTCGGTCTCCATATGCCTGTTTTCCCTTCCTTCTTTTGAAATGACCATTGTAAAAATGCAGATTGCCTCCTTCTAATGGGTCATACAGCGTAAATCTAAATTTGTAAAGACTAATCGATGCTCGATGTGGGGATGTGATCAAATTCATCCAGACTGCCTCTATTTACCAGGAGCTTTCATGATTTACGTATTATACTGAGTCGACTTGGGAGTTGTATTGTCTTGGGGGTCAACATAAAACTTTACCACAAGATCGGGTTGACCCAAAGCCCTCTGTGCCCAGAGGCTTGCATCTAAACACTACGCTTTCCCCGCTCCCAACAGGCAAAGAGTTAAAAGTTCATAATTGAAAATTGACATTAAAATACTTGCGATCTGTTACAAACGCTCCGCCCCCATCTTCAGCAGTCAGCGCAAAACTCCAGTAATGATGTTGCTAGGTGTAGTCTCTTGCCTCTCCTATGGCCATTGCATCGATGAAAAAAAAACATGTTTACTCACACTTGCACCATTCTTTCTAGAATATAAACAGTGCTGACCCATCCATATTCACGTGCTTTAAAACTGTCTTTATCACATCGATCTTGTTATGCATAATATGCAGCCGGTTCTAAGATAACGAACGTTTGCTTTACAAAGGGACAAGTGCCCAAACTTTAAATTACAGTTATTCGTCATCCCCTTGTGGGATGCAATTTTTAGGTATTTTGAAGCCCAAATATGGCTTGTGCCGGGGGTGCTAAATATAGCCGGGCCTTAAATATAGCCTAACGGCTGAACTGGGTATCCGAGACCTATCCACATGTGATCCGCATCCGCACGGTGGCACTTTGTGTCACTGGGTGTTAATCGCTTGTGTGATGTCCTAGTGGGGTACAACCTACCTAGAACTAAATTGTGATGCCTCATGCAAAAGAGTCTCATAACTTCCCAATTACTAGAAAAAAAAACAGCAGTGAATTCTTTCCGGCACATTTCCAAGAGATTACTGGTATATTCTGAATGAGAACGGTAATTGCTTTTGTTTTAAGTCATGACCAATGTTTTATTTAACTCGTAACGCAGGTGAACATAAAATTATTATAACAGAAAGTTTTTAAGGGAAATTGAAAGACAAATACATGTTAGATTATGGAACCACTAATAGATCAAAGTGATGAAAACCATACATAGGGGAGAAGAAATCTACCAAGGAAAAAAAAATTATACAGCGGAAAAAAAAGGGAAGACATCAATAGAAACTAAGGGAGAGAACGAAACACAGAGGTATCGGAACTATGAATAAAACAAAACAAAACAACAACAATCGATTAGAACAGCGGCTCTAATGGGCGCCGCATGCGTATACCAGGGGTGTCCCGTCAAAAAACAAGATTTGTTAAAAAACCTATTTGCCATCAGCGAAGACAGCAGTTTAGGGCATAAATACCGTAAAGAAAGCCAAGAAGAGTTCTTGATGGTGCTGTCTTCAGAAAACAAAGATATTGGAAAGGTTGCAGTGCATTCCTAATGCTCGCTTACATTCTTTTTTTAAACAGAACAGGCACAACCTTCAAGTGATTTGAGGGTACAGTTAACTAAACTTCCCATAAACATGAAGTAAATAATGAAACATTCATCTGAACAGTTTCATTCATCGAATTAAAGACAGATGAACATTAAATTTGCAATGTTTTTTTTTTTTTCTTCTTCTTCTTTTCATAAGTATTCATACCGCTAAAGGGTAGGTCTGCTGCGAAATGTTTTGTTTGTTTGTGTGTGTGTGCCCAACAAAGGTGCCACGGCGAAAACAAATTTGAGAAACGCTGGTTTAGGAGACGCTCCAGAATGAAGGAAGATTAGTAATGATAATAATGATGATAATAATAAATGATTAATATTAGTTAGGAGATAATACCTACGAAAAAAAATGATGGTAACATCGATCATCATAAATATACATAGTTTTTCAGAAAAGATTTAGAGCTGTTCATGCTGCCAGAATTGACATTATTATTTCTGTCCACAGAGCCACAAATACAGTTGAATTCAGTGACTTCATTTGTTGATTGCTCTCAGATCTACGGATCCTCTGACGAAGTTGCAGCAAGTGTTAGAGAACCTGGTAGTGAGAACACAGCAGTCACCAATAGTTTTAAACTGTATACATCATACTATATAACACATACATGCGTATATACAGACATACATACAACCTCACATACATGCATACTTATATAAATAGAGACCGAAAGACAGAACAGAAAGACAGACAAACAAGCAGACAGTTAGACAGACAGACAGACAGACAGACAGACAGACAGACAGACAGACAGACAGACAGACAGACAGACAGACAGACAGACAGACAGACAGACAGACAGACAGACAGACAGACAGACAGACAGACAGACAGACAGACAGACAGACAGACAGACAGACAGACAGACAGACAGACAGACAGACAGACAGACAGACAGACAGACAGACAGACAGACAGACAGACAGACGGACGGACGGACGGACGGACGGACAGACGGACAGACAGACAGACGGACGGACAGACAGACAGACAGACAGACAGACAGACAGACAGACAGACAGACAGACAGACAGACAGACAGACAGACAGACAGACAGACAGACAGACAGACAGACAGACAGACAGACAGACAGACAGACAGACAGACAGACAGACAGACAGACAGACAGACAGACAGACAGACAGACAGACAGACAGACAGACAGACAGACAGACAGACAGACAGACAGACAGATAAGCAGTGATCCAAGTCTTTACCTAGACTATGAAGTAATAGCTGCCATACACAACATTGAAACTTGGCAAGTTTATTGCTCAATGTAAAATATACTGACTGTAGTAATTAGAGAAAAATTAAATCGATAGTGGACAATATCTCTCGCAGAGAGATGAACAAGCACGTTTTTAACCAGGAACTACACATTTAGATCAAATTTTCACACTAAGATAATTTTAGAGTAATTTATATGAAACAAACTTAACCCCTTCTTTTGAATTTAATCGAAAAAGGCGTTTGATAGTCTACACATAATATAACTGGGAAATTTGGGAAAGAAAATAATAAATATTAAGGCAATATGTTCAGGATCAGAGTGACCAATGCAAACAAGTGATGGTTTAAATGATTGGTTTAAATTTTGAACACGTAGTAAAACAGCGATGACTTTTTATCTCTCCCTGTGATCTGGTATAACCATTCACTGGGTGATAAAAGAATGTTGTGTTGGAAACCTAGAAATTGACTGGGTGATAAAAATATATTGTGTTGGAAACATCGGAATTGACTAGGTGATGAAAAATGTTGTGTTAGAAACATCGGAATTGACTAGGTTATGAAAAATGTTGTGTTGGAAACATCGGAATTGACTGTGTGATAAAAAATGTTGTGTTGGAAACATCGGAATTGACTAGGTGATGAAAAAAAAAATGTTGAGTTGGAAACACTGGAATTGACTAGGTGATGAAAAAAATGTGTTGCGTTGGAAACTTCCGTATTGACTGTGTGATGAAAAAATGTGTTGCGTTGGAAACTTCCGTATTGACTGTGTGATTAAAAAATGTGTTGCGTTGGAAACTTCCGTATTGACTGTGTGATGAAAAAATGTGTTGCGTTGGAAACTTCCGTATTGACTGTGTGATGAAAAAATGTGTTGCGTTGGAAACTTCCGTATTGACTGTGTGATTAAAAAAAATGTGTTGTGTTGGAAACATCGGTAATGGCTGTGTGATGAAAAAATGTTGTGTTGGAAACATAGGCATTGGCGGAGAACACACTGTTGGAAGATCTTAATGTTGGTGATAGTAGTGTTCTGCTAAGTAAAATCAACAGGGCTACGTACAGATAAGCAGAGGATGTAGCAAATATAGCATCAAAGATCAGACTACAACTAAGTTATGACAAGATAAATGTATTAACGACACCAGTAACTGATTAGGCAAATGAAACAATAGAGACAAAATAAATTAACGCAACAGATCAATTGACTTATTTTATCGGTAATTGTGATAGTGAATAAATACAAAAAAAATATTTTATGACACACACTGGCAAGGTATCGGTAGCTTTTCCAAGCCTGAACGAAATATGGAACTCCAAAGTTTATGGATTCTTAAAACCAAGTCACACATATTTTTCAATCCAAATGTTTTTTTAAAACACATATATGTGCTAGTGAAAGTTGGAAATCCCTAAAGCCATGAAATGAAAGTTAAATGCATTCAAAAACCAATGCTGGAGAAACATGATGCTTTAAGCATTTTAATGGGCGTCAAGGGGGTGACATAATAATAGAAATGTCTAACCAAATACTAAAAATTGTAAGACCGATAAGATAAGACTCTAATGGACACATCCTTAGAAGAAACGAGCAGAGAATCGTCAAACAGGCATTACAATAGACAACATGGATTAAGAAAGCGAGAACGCCCCAAAGAAACCCTAAAACAATCGTTGATGAGAGAGGTCAAATATACCGGACTGGATTCCATCTCTGATATTGAACTGATTGCCCAAGAGAAAACTGAACGGAGGATAATTGCGAGCAATTTTTGAGGTACAAATCCAAGACAGGACAATGCACGATTACTATAACTACGAGAAGTCTGCAGTTTATCCGCCGAGAAGATTTTCCCTGATAATGCTCATCATGGTATAACCTGTTGACCCATCCCACTGCATAAATTGCTCATAACCAAATTCCAAATTTTGATGATGCAGGACAAAACGCCAACAGCAAGCCACAAGAAACAATGTTTTCAGAAATTACGTGGTTTGTATGCTTTGGTAAAAAAAAAATATAATTGTATAGTCAGATTAAGTGTGGTCGCACAATCAATTTATGTAAACCAAAAACCAAAAAAAAAAAAAAAAAATCAAAATCAACCACGCCTAACCTACTGCTAGCAGTATTGGTTATAACTGTGGTCTGGTTTTTGTGTGCTAATTATATTGGCTAAGAAATGTCAATTGCACCAAAACTAGTGGCTTAATGCGGTGCTCTAGTGGCTAGTAAGTGCTGCTGAGGAGAAGGCTGGCATGCACTAAACACAACCGGGCACACACACATAGAAATACATCTATCTATACACGTACATATATATATATATATATATATATATATATATATATATATATATATATATATATATATATATTTATATATATATATCCTAATGTACCTATATACTTGTCGCCAACGCTTGTCATAAGCTTGAGCTAAGCCTAAAAATACTGCTATAGTGTTTTTCTTGTGTTAAATCATTGTTTTCACTTGGTCCAATAGTTTCATTTTTTGGTCCATTAAAGACCTATCGGCTCTAAATCTAGACTGGATTTTACTAAATAAGTTACATACCTCCATGTGGAAAGTGATCTTTTTGTTATTGACAGTTTCTAGGATCTTTCCTAAATGGGATGTTAACGAAGTGGCTCTGTATGAGTCTACTTTTTGAGGTTCCTTTTCTGTTTAATGGGAATAATTGTGGCTCGTTTTCATTGCCTGTGAATATCTGCTTTTGTCCATGTCTAGTTGAAGAAATCCGTAATTTGCTTCAATGTTTTTCCGGGCAACATTTTTATTATTGTGTAACTAAGAATGTCGGCTCCTGCTGCTGATTTGGATTTCCCATTTATAGCACTTCTAACATCTTCTACTTTTATATCCACGTCTATGCAATGTCCTACTGCATTGAAATGCTGTAATTTGCCATTAGGTTTGCTAAATTACTCTTTCCTCACTCGGCGCACAAATTTTGTTGATAAGCCCAAATGTGGAAGACAGTCCTCAGAGTGGACTGGTGAAAATGCAGAAAACGTGAAGAAAACAATTGACCAAGTTTGGAAATGCCTACTCAGACCTCACTCACGCAGTTAAACTGAGTAACAGTACATTTGCTAGAATTTGACACAACAGACCATTAGAAAGGTTTGCGCTCGCAGGGTTTCAAGCTGCTAACACGTGACCAGAAAAAAATTGCCAGCATGCACCGGAAAACTGTAGGTTCTCCTGACACCAGTCAAACAAAGAGCTCGTAAATCGGCAAGATGGTGCTGATAATTATTTGTGGGCAGCACAGCGTGTTCTTTTGAAAGAATACCTGCTTCGAGGACAGTATTATTCAGATCTCCTTACAAAACTTAGGAACAAGAAAATTAAGGATTGCCGCATTTATAATCTTTCTTGGCCTCAAGACAACACTCCTTCTCATAAAGCACAGATAGTGTAGCTAACAGTCAACTATGTGAATATAAATAAATTCCTTCTCGTCCGCCATATTAACCAAAATTGGCACTCTCCGACCGTTTTCTTTACCCGAGTCTTTAAAAAAAAAATGCAAAGATTAGACACAACGAATTCATTTGACAGTGACATAAAGTAATACTGGCGTGCGATAACCGATTGACAGAGTGTTATTTTCTCAAGACGTTTTAAAGGTTAAGCAGAGATAGTAAAAATCTTTAAATATGCGAGGTGGCTAAATTCAAAATAAATAAATACTGTACCAATTTATTCTTTTTATGCCATTACTTTTATAGTCAACAAAAGAACCTATGGACCACTTCTTGTGTGTTTGTATTTATATATATATGTGTGTGTATATATATACATATTATTGAGAGCAAAATAAAGAGAGAGAGAGAGAGAGAGAGAGAGAGTGTGTGTGTGTGTGTGTGTGTGTTTGCATGTGGATAAAAACAGCTTTAATGTGAGTGTGTGTAAGTGTGTAGAAAGAAAGACTTGCTGTGTGAAAATGTGTGTGAGTAGAAAGAAAGACTAAGTATGTGACTATGTGTAGGTTATATGTGAACTTTATATATACATACACTTATAAATGAGAGCAAATGTGAACTTCAAGTTATCATCCCCAGGAGGCTTTCTGTTGCGCGAGAAGAATGGATTTCCTCCAGAGGGACCTGGCCCGTGTACTAAACGAAATGGCACTAACGACTATTGCTTCTTGGCAGGTATGTTCATGTGTCAATCATCCAGACTGAATGATGTGCCTTCTGGAAAGACTTGCTTGGATATTTACGGTAAAGTCACTTTAAGTATACACTGCATCTCAGGCAACAGAGGTAGGGTGACCATAATACCTTAAATAGAAAACGGGATATCCAAGTGATTTTTTCTTGAAAACGGGACATACCAAGAAAGTCAGCTGAAAACTGTTTCTTGCCCCCCCCCCCCCCCCCACTCTTTTTAGATATCCTGCTTGAACGAAATATTCACTTGCTAGGCGCTCGACAGTTGTATTAGAACTCAACCCCTTGCCCCCCCCCCCCTCCCCACTCAAAAAAAAAATTCAAACTTATGCTCTTACACTGCAATGAAACAGGACTACAAAGGGAATTCTCGTTAACAGTTTTTTGGCAATAAAAGAGTACCGCTCGGATCACCGGGTTTGCATCGGTGAAAACTGGACTTATGGATAGGCGTATGGTCTATAAGCAGAGGTTTACTTTATTTGGAAAGAAGTAAACACCGAATAATTGATTGAATCTTTCTTACACATGGCAATTTTTGTGACATACAGGAGACGCCAGGGCTAACCAGCACGCCTACCTAGCTGCCATGCACACACTGTGGATCAGGGAGCACAACTACCTTGCTAGAAAACTCAGGGAATTGAACAAGAATGCTACCAATGAATTTATATTTCAAACCGTCAAAAAAATAATCATAGGTAAGAGGTTAATCTGTCTATCTATCTATCTATCTATCTATCTATCTATCTATCTATCTATCTATCTATCTATCTATCTATCTATCTATCTATCTATCTATCTATCTATCTATCTATCTATCTATCTATCTATCTATCTATCTATCTATCTATCTATCTATCTATCTATCTATCTATCTATCTATCTATCTATCTATCTATCTATCTATCTATCTATCTATCTATCTATCTATCTATCTATCTATCTATCTATCTATCTATCTATCTATCTATCTATCTATCTATCTATCTATCTATCTATCTATCTATCTATCTATCTATCTATCTATCTATCTATCTATCTATCTATCTATCTATCTATCTATCTATCTATCTATCTATCTATCTGAACTATCTAATCTATGTATCTAAACTATCTAATCTATGTATCTAAACTATCTATCTATCTATCTATCTATCTATCTATCTATCTATCTATCTATCTATCTATCTATCTATCTATCTATCTATCTATCTATCTATCTATCTATCTATCTATCTATCTATCTATCTATCTATCTATCTATCTATCTATCTATCTATCTATCTATCTATCTTTCTATCTATCTATCTATCTATCTATCTATCTATCTATCTATCTATCTATCTATCTATCTATCTATCTATCTATCTATCTATCTATCTATCTATCTATCTATCTATCTATCTATCTATCTATCTATCTATCTATCTATCTATCTATCTATCTATCTATCTATCTATCTATCTATCTATCTATCTATCTATCTATCTATCTATCTGTCTGTCTGTCTGTCTGTCTGTCTGTCTGTCTGTCTGTCTGTCTGTCTGTCTGTCTGTCTGTCTGTCTGTCTGTCTGTCTGTCTGTCTGTCTGTCTGTCTGTCTGTCTGTCTGTCTGTCTATCTATCTATCTATCTATCTATCTATCTATCTATCTATCTATCTATCTATCTATCTATCTATCTATCTATCTATCTATCTATCTATCTATCTATCTATCTATTTATCTATCTATCTATCTATCTATCTATCTATCTATCTATCTATCTATCTATCTATCTATCTATCTATCTATCTATCTATCTATCTATCTATCTATCTATCTATCTATCTATCTATCTATCTATCTATCTATCTATCTATCTATCTATCTATCTATCTATCTATCTATCTATCTATCTATCTATCTATAAAGTTTGTTTGTTCGTTCGTTCGTTCGTTCGTTCGTTCTACCTATCTACCTTTCTACCTTTCTATCTA